ACAATCGTACTTCCGAAACTTGCCATTTATATTCGTGCCGTGTCTGCTCAGGAAGGCATCGTCCTTGTAGCCATGAGCATTTATGATGTCTGTTGGTCTGATCAATGTTGCTAAACGCGGTGTCGCATACCAGGCACCTATTTCTATGGTAATGGTATATAATACTGTAGGACATCCATGGCCAGGCGCTCGTGTATGTACTTGGTGCGCAATAAGACTAGGTAGGGTAGCGAACTTCTTGGGGCACTCCCCCAGGCCACAAGCAAACCACCGCTCCTCCTCATCCGAGTCGTCGATGAGAACCGCCTGTGAAGGTATGGACACGGTGAGGGACGTGTCCAGGGGGGGGGGCACTCCTGTGATACATATGACGCTCTAAACACGGTCATGTCGCACTTGCGGAAGATTTCGTTGGCCTCCGAGTCCTCAAACAACACTTTGATCACGGGGGGGGGGGGACCAGATCTCCTTCAACTCCACACCCTCGGGGTGCGAGAGCAAGCACGCGAGATCGTCGGCGAGTTGCCGTACCCATGGGTGCAGTCCTTTGTCACTGCTGATGGTGCCCTGCGGTGTGAGGGGGGAGGGGGAGGTCTGGGAGCTCATCCACTCCTCAAATAGACAGCGGCCGAACACTCCTGCGAGTAGCTGGGCATGATGCGCGGGCTCGCTGGCGATACTTTGCCACCAGCCTAGACGTCTGATCATCAACTCCAGGGCTGTGGGCGGGACCGACCAATATGCTAGTACTTCACGAGTAGTGTACGAGTGATGATGACCTGAATCGTCTACTTCGTGGGCCTTGCCTCGTAGCATAGCTCGTAGTTTTTTTCCGATCGTTCGGTCGAATCTCGCAGTTTCGCTAGCTCGGACGTAAGATTCCAACCCGCTCATTATTTTTCCAGCTACGCTTGCTAAAAAGGTCATGCGCTTTGCTTTGAAAAGGCCCCGATGAGAACCAGTAGTGGCCCAAAGAGCACCATCCAATGTTACCTACTTTTATTCGCTCGTCGATCTCCTTGGTGTTTGACGAATTCACATTGATGTAACCTCCGAGATGGATCATGTTGTTCACCGGCCTACCACTTTTGGTTTTTCGACTTCCCGTGTAGATCTGGCCGTAGGTCGGTGTACTAGTGCGTCCTGTTTCGCGACGTTCTGCACGAAACCGTCTACTTCCAACTCCTTATTAAGAATAGCATTATCAAGATAATCCAGAAGTAGTGCGTGCTGAACCGACGAGTCTGGGATAATGAAGGCCTGGGCGAGATCGTCAATGAAGCTTCCCATGCCGACGTCCTGCTCTTGGTCCGTTATCGGGCACTGCACTCGAAACAATGGGCCAGTGAGCGTCGCCATCTCTTCCCTCCACCTGCGTACTGGCTTGTAGCAGGCCTGCATAAATAGTTCTGGTTCATTAGAGTCCCCCATTCCACCACCGGACTCGGGATGAAGATGGATAGTTTCATCGGCAGCGTCCATGCGAATGAGGGCCTGGGCGCGATAATGTTCGAGGACGGTAGAAACATGCCTCGTAGGATGCCGCTCTCGATGTGCTAGTACTAGTCCCTCAACGTGTCCCGTCCCAAAAGCATTGCGCATGTCGTACGATTTTAACATGAACCCAAGCTTATAGAAATGGAACTTCCAGACTAGAATTTTCATGAGCATCATGAGGGCCTCCCGTCGCCTACATCGAACGCCGCCGTACGGCCAGTCGGGAGGGGAAAACTCGGAACCGTATGTAACCAATCCAACTCTGAGGTACGATCGCCAAAATGGACAGAAAACATGAATCATTCTGAGGACCTCATTGATGTCGTCTACTGCATTTCCTGTCGGGGCCTTGCCCTTCTTAGGGATCATGATGCCGTGGCTGGTGTATGCATGCTGTGGTAAGCGTTGTGTCGCGCGTACATGTGCGAGTACAGCGTGTAGTGCATCACGACCTGCATTAGACTGTGCCAAGCTAATCCAAGTAAACGTGCGTTTATCTGGTCGAGGGGGGGGGCTTCGTCCCAACCGGGACCCCTCGTAATGTACTGGCCCTCGGGGTGTCCGATTCCCGTGGTCGGTAAGCCTGGCTTGCTCAAGACTTCGGGGAGGAGGATCATTTTGGTTAGCTCGTCGGGCCACGACCATGGGGGCGAGTAGCGCCGATGCTGATGATGGTGATGATGATGAGGGGAGGCGGAGGAGGAGGCGGAGGAGGAGGAGCGGGGGAGGAGGAGGAGGAGAGATGATGAGGAGACAAGGGGGGACGAGGCGGGAAGAAACACGAGGAACGAGGAGGAGAATGAGGAGGACAGATGAGGAGAAGGAACGAGGAGGAACGAGGAGAAGGAGGAGGACGAGGACGAGGAGGAGGAGGAAGAGGAGGAGGAGAAGGAGGAGGAGGAGAAGGAGAAACAACGAGGAGGAGGAGCAGGAGGAGGAGGAGGAGAAACGAGAAGGAGAAGGCGGCGGAGAAGGAGGAGGAGGCGGAAGAGGAGGAGGAGGAAGAGGAGGAGGAGGAGGAGGAGGAGGAGGAGGAGGAGGAGGATAAGGAGGAGAAGGCGGCGGAGGAGGAGGAGGAAGGGGAGGAGGAGGACGCGGCAGAGAGAATGCAGCAACGGGCCTCGCGCGCCCCGCGGCCTGCGCACACGTACATGACGCCACCTCGCGCGCAGGGCTGGGGGGGGCCTCCTTCCATGTCCCTGCTGCCCCCCCCACACACACACGCCTCCAAGTAATCCCCAACCAATCAAACGCTCGAACATTCCCGAAGCCGTTTGGCCATGTTAGGCTCAATATGGTTTTCAAACGGGCCTCAGATAAACCAAGCCCGATCGGGCACGAAGCCCCCCGGGCAGCTAATGATAACCCCTCGAAGGCACCTCGACGGCCCAAGGGGGACATTGGCAATCCAAGATGTCCCACCCCCCGCCTCGCCCAAGATGACCACACGAAGACCATCAAAGCCAAGTCGAACGAGCTCCACAAACGGCCGAGATGGACACAAGACAACTAAAATCCCCAATGGGTCCCCCTACTGCCCTACAATAGCTCACGGCAACCCCTACCACGGCTCAGGTCAGCCCCATGGAGACCCATCATAACAGACACCAACATTGCCACACATTTGACGGCCTTCGGAGCGGTGTTGGAACCGTCGCCACACGGAGAGCTGCGCCGGGACGGCGGGAGTAGTTGCCGCAGCCAGTTGAGCATTATGCTCTGATGCTCGTGGATGTTACACTTTGCGAAATGCTTAAGAAATCATGGGTTAAGAAACTCAGAGTCTCAGAATTTGAATAAAAACCCAGAATTTCTATGGAAATCTTCGGATTTACATTGAAACATTAAGAATAATCGAGACTCTGGCCGAAAACTTAAGTTTTCTTAAGCATCGCCTAAGGTGTATCGACCATGGAGTTGCTAGTCGCCTAGATGCGGTTCGGACTCGAGGGCTATCTCGAGCTGTCAGTCGAGCACGCCAGACTTCTTCGTGTACAGCTTGCGCGGCCTCCGCGCGTCGCCCTCCTCGGATCCGATGCTGATTTCTCCGATGGCTGCGCGCCTTGGCCGCCATCGGTGGGGAGAGCCACACGTACAGCCGCAGTCCACTTTGACAAGCGTTCGAACCACTCTAATCGCATAAGGCGTGTCGTTCGATAGTGTGGGCGAGGCCGAGAGGTGCCCTGCGGGCCGACCTGCCTCGCCAATTGTAAACCATGCCTGCGCCTCGTCGTGTAACATCGCACCTCGGACGTACCTGAGAACTCCTGGAATGTGAGCAAGTTGGCGGCTTCGAACTCCGTTTGGCTTGCAGCTCTGGCTCGAGTGCGGAGTCTACCATCGTCGGCATGTCGTGGCCTCGCATGTCTATATCACTGCTACTTGGATCGGTACGATCCTGGAAGGTGTGGTGATTCTGGGTGCGCTGGGGGTGGTCAATCTCAAAGTGAACAGGGCTGTAGCGTATGTGGTCTAGTGGTTCATGGGGTGCATTGTTTCTGGATCGCGTTAATGTGGTATTTCTAGCACTAGCAATGACCGTCCATGACTCTGGACGCGGAGCGAGCTGGTAGTTTGGCACATGTTGTCAATACGATCTGCACCGGCCTGAAACTTCCCCGCGAACCGATTGACGGTGGTCAATACTGGAACGATGCAAGTGTGACGCCTTGCCGTGTGGCTTGTGCATTATCCAACGGGTTCAAGCCTGGCGGCTGATGGATCGGAACGTCCAACCGCCAACGCCTTCTGCCTTCATCGTGCGGTGCCACCGCTTGCAACCGTTCACGTCTATCGGGTGATCGACACGGGACTGCAACTAGGTGCTTCGCTACCATGTGAAAGCTGGACCTGCACTTGAATATGGTTCACGTCGACGCTTTCTGTCATGACCCGAACCAGGCAACGGTCGAGGGCGCGAAGCGACAATCTATTGGCGGGCCTTCTACGACCAGGGGGGAAGAGGAGGATGGTGGTGTGGGGCGGGGAGGTGAGAAAGTCAGGGTGGATAGGGGCGGGGGAGCGAGAGAGAGAAAGAAAGAGAGAAAGAAAGAGAGAAAGAGAGAGAAAGAGAGAGAGAGAGAGAGAGCGAGAGAAAAAGAGATAGAGAGAGAGAGAGGGAGAGGAATGATGAAAGCAGAACAGAGAAAGTGAAGGCGCGCGCCACCGTAGAACTGCCTGCCCGACTCCGCCTGCTGCCCGACGATCCACGGCAAACGTGTCACCACGGCCTCTGGGAGCAGATTTTTCATGGCTCCTCCCGTGCTCAAGAGAGGGAGGAGGAGGAAGAGTAGGACTGGAGGAGGATGAGGAGGAGGAGGAGGAGGAGGAGGAGGAGGAGGAGGAGGAGGAGGAGAGGGACAAGGAGGAGGATGAGGAGGAGATCGATGAGGAGGAGGAGGAGAAGGAGGAGGAGAAATAGGAGAACGAGGAGACAAAGGATTATGAGGAGGAGGAAGAAGAGGAGGAGGAGGAGGCGGCGGCGAACATCAAATGGTTTTCGACAGATGGGCGGTGCGGGCGCGTTAGGGCCCCACCGATGTCAAACAGTGGCCATCCCATTGTGGCGCCCTTCGCCCAGGACGCATGGCTGGAATAGGGCGGATAGACGACTGAGACGAAATAGGGCACAATGGACGCCAGTGGCAGAAAATGGCGCGTGCAGGCACATCAGGCAAGGCAAAAAAAGGAGCGCCAGCGAGAGAGCTAGACACGTGCACACTGACATAACAGAGGCAGACATCACCAGAAACAGCGACAAGACAATACTTCGCGAACGCTTGAAACCAATGCAGCGAACGGCCCCCAAGGGGTCCAACATCGAAGGGATGGCATCCCCAAATTTGCGGCCCGAGAGCAAGGGATAATTTCATTAACTGTCCCTCCCTCATGAACAAGTGCATTGCATCTCAGTCAGACTTGCTCTGCAGATGTCGTCACACAGCACCCCCCCCCGCTCACATTCAAAGACAATGCGAAACTACCCTCTCTGAGGTCTTCGACCTCTCTGCGAATGTAGCTGCTCAGGAGGCTCCCAATTTCCCTGGAATCGAACTCGCCCTCTCTCCAGCACAGTCTGACCATGCACGCCACTGCTTACCTCTGCACCAACAGTCGGTTCACTCCTCTGCTCACCTTTTTGCGCAAAAATCACCTGCGGTGCCTGGCGCTGCGAAGCAGCCTCTCTAGGCTGTTCTGCATCTTCCTCTCCTGCGTGGTCTTCGGAGGCGGGCCCGGCTTGGGCATGCTGCCCAGCTTCAGAAGCAAACTCGTAATCACGCCGTCCAGGGGAACCATGAACCCGCCCGCGCCTTCGAGGTTGGCCCACGCGTTGATGAAGTAGGTACGCCGCACCTGCCTCTTGTTCAGAGGCACAGTCTGCTCCACGTACACTTCTTGGGCCTTCCAGTACTTGAGATACTCTGCTGCTGCCACCATGGGGAGCTTCTTCACTTTGGCTGCGAAAGCCATGGTGACTTCCATTTCGTGCTGCACTTCGGGATCACGTTGCAACTGCGTGTTGTTGGTGAGCGCATCAATCACGGTCATGCTGGTTACCAGGCTGGCCTTGTCCCTGGTTCGTGGGCTTCTCCTTGACGGTGTCCATATACTGGTCGATGGTAGCGACTGCCACGGCGTTCAGTTCGCACTCCGAGGGGGGGCAGGTGCGTCGACGCCAGACAGCCCCCGAGCGCTCTGGTGCGCTGTGCTGCGTTGAGCTGGCTCTTCAGCATGTCCGCCGCCGTCTCCCCGTCCGACCCATCGGCGCCCCTGTTCGCTGCTCCTCCCGTCGCAGCTGCTGCCGCCGAGGTTGCGGCAGCGCGCTGCCGTCGCTGATGCTTAGGGCCGCGTTCTCCGTTGGAGCCGCCGCCGAAGGAGATCGCTGGACAGTCCGCTGCTAGCCTCTTCTTGGCTTCGGCCAGCTTCGCCCCATCGACTGCCGGCGCCCGCGCGGCCACCTGCAGTGAAGAAAAAGTGTGCTTCCTCCGGGAGGTCAACGCGCGAGCGAATATGGCGTTGGAGCGGATCGAGAGATTTGCTCCAGACGACATGCAGGGCAAGATAATAATGGAGGTGAGATACCTTCGTGATGAACTGGGCTGCGATCGTAGTGGCAAACACAAGTGAGAAATCGTCGCCGTACGCGCTGTTGGGGTATAGCTCTCTTAGCGTGGACGCTCATGCACCGTGGACATTGGTCAGTCACGACGAGGAGCTGGCTGAGGGTACGGTGTCCGTGACTACCTTCACGAGCAAGTCGCGCGTGCGCGTGCCAGGCCGTCTGCGTATCGAATTTATGCCCGCGGACATCCCCATTGCTGTTGGTTGCAGTGCAGACCCATTGTGGCGTCGGCGGGGGCGCTGGCACGATGGCCTCAGGAGCAGACCCAGTAGTATCCCTCACCACCTTCCCCCCAGCATCAATCACGCCCTCTCAGTGTAGCGTTCTCAGCTTCGATGTGTTGACATTGTTGAATGTGTTTGCAAATCGCGGCACGAACACATTTAGAACCTTCTCCTCCATCTCCTCTAAGAGCTCCCGTCCTCTATCTAGATGCATTAGCGTGGCAGCATCACTAAAAGCTTGCAATGCCCATGGGTTACCTTGATATGCTCTCTCAGAATCCCGACGCACATGCCTGTCGACAACAGTGGGGTGGACTTCGTCGGGAAGCTGCCCAAACATCGGGGCGGTCCGTTGGCGATTGCCATGTAAATTGGTCGCCATTTGTTGGGGCCATGTTAATCGTCTGATGCGAAATCCTAATTGAGTGGGCGCCAGTCCGAGCTTGCTCCGTGCACTACGAGTCTGTAATGCTGTGTATTTCGCCCCCCCGTCCCATAGGCTGAGGCAATTTAACGGTCGCGTCCTCCTTGGGCCGCTTACGGCCCCAAAACAACAACAACCCATCCACCAATTCATAGTCGCTGGTCGTCGGAACAAGCGCATCCATGCCACTCGGCGCGGCCCCTTGGACGCGAGGCTGAAATGCAACAGTCAGAAAACCACGGGGCACCCGGGGCCGAAACCTGAACTTACCCATTGAGTGCCGCGCCAGCTGCACGCGTTTCTTGATTATGTGCCTCTGCTGCGACGTACTACGTGTGTGATGGCATTGAACTCCAAGGTGCGGTGCATGTTGACATGCGTGGCCACGTATATCATGCGCTGTGCGCGCTGATGTAATCGCTCGTGACAGCATGTGCGCACCTGTGCCTACGAACCGAAGGGCAATCTTCTGCATGGCCACAATCTACGCACCTCCCACCCGCTGTAGACATGCATCGAGGTCCACGCTCGCACGATTGACCGTCTCACACATACTCTCCGAGGTAGAAGCCGCGCACTTGTGCTTGATATCGTCCATGAACACAGTCGTGCCTATATCAACCTTCTCCTCTGGGGTGCTGTGCATTGGGTCCGTGCATGGGAGCTGCTGGCCCCCGACTCTAGCATGTTGCAGTTCGAGCCAAGGTGCCAGGACACATCGATCCAGGGTGCGCGTATACTTCGCAAGGGGCCGCCTGCCTGCATTGTAAAGGAACCCTTTCCTGCGCGACAATGCCAATCCCCGTCGGCGCATTCTAGAGATATGCTACTCCCGTGATTACACGCGTGCCCCAAGGAAACATCTTGCGGGTCCAGGTGGAGATAATCCGTCTCATCAAAACCCTCCAGTGAAATACTCCCAAAAGCATTCGCCTGGTAATGGGAGACGGCGCAATGGGATTTTTCAGATTCGAGAGCCACCAGCTGGCGATAAGCTGAATCCTTACCGCAGACTCCCGCCTCCGATGCCGAAGGCCCCCGCGAGGATACGGTGCGAACGTCTTCTCGGAATGGCCCGCGCCCCCTCGGCGGCCGACGCACTGCGAGAAGGCTCTACTAACAGAGCAAGTGCGGTGGACCAACCGGATGCCCGTCATGCCCGTCTTATCCGTTGGCTTGGGAAGGCAGCGGCCTGGCGGGTGCAGCCAGTCCTGCGGTACCTTTGCATTCTCCACGACCATCCCAAAAGATCCCACGTAACCTCCTTCCGAACCAGCTCATCTCGGGAAGACTCTCAACGAATGCCCGCAGTTGGTCACGCAGTCTGGGGCCCCGACGATGAGGATGGAGAAGCATTCAGGAAACCTCTAGAGGCAGACTCCAGCTGGGGACAGTGCGCCAATGTTTCATGGTGAGAATTGAACTGCGCACGCCTGCAAGATCTCTGAGAACCTCATCCTGGAACCCAGGCTCATGCATATCATATCCTGGCCCGCGTTCATACCGATCGCGCGGGTGGTCGGTGATCTCTATCATCTCGCAGGGTTGCCCGCCTAGTCTTCCAGGAAGTGCTAGATGCCCCCGCCGCGTCTCACGTGTATGCCGGTGCGAGATATGCGCATTATAATACCGCTACCGTCTTCCCATGGACGTGCGCGCAATACGCCGAATCAACCTGTGCGCGTGCCTCCATTGCCGTTGACCAAGGGCTTCCCGCAATTAGGCAGTTAAAACGTCTAGCTTGTGCTCTTGAAGCGTCTGCTTCTCTTCCCTCGCCAGTCTCGTGATCTTGGGAAGTTGTTGTTGCGTGCGGTTTAGCTCTTGCTGTTTATCTTCCGAAAGAGTTCCATTATGTTGCTCAAATTGCGCGCAGTCCCGAAGTCGTTGCTGTTGGGGTCGCCGTGCTTGCGCAGAAGTCCCATCCTCCTCCTCAATATACTGGGCAAAGAAACCTAGCGCAATCGGTTTGAGGGCATCAGCGCTTCCCAAGCCAGATCTGGGGTCGCACGTCCATCCAGCGCACGCCAGGTCGTGTGCGTCCGTTCGCGCATCTCATCCACCTCTCTAAGGAACGGCTCCCTCCACAACACATCACCATCCTGTCCATATCCCACCTCTCCTCCTCCTTCCTCTTCGGCGAGCGCGGGAACGATATAATGTAGTCTACCAGGATGCGTAGCGGGTAGTGGTCCCATCTCTGGCGAATGGGCACAATCTGAATGGCCCGACCATGCTTCTCTAAAATACGGCACTTGCGCACATTACATAACCACGCATACGGGGCATCACACTGATCAATACGTGTCTGCGATAGCCTACCATAGAATTTCGCACGCCCTCCAACAGAAATGTTGACAAGACAGGTCTGGAAATCCTCCATGAACCCTCGGAGCTCATGCACGCAGTGGTGTTCTTGCGACGGGACAGTGGGCCTACAGGGTTCTGAGCGTCAACCACATACTCAGGAGAGGGGATACCAGCATAATCATTGACATCGCCCCCGGGGACAATAGAACACCGACTATGCTGTACTAGTCATCCTCATCCACTCAAGCATGGCATCTACGGTCTTGGTGAATGTAAGATTATTCTGGCTGGTGGTAGCCCTTGGTGGGAAGTACACCACAAAACACAGGATGTGAAACCTCCCTGATCGAAGCAAGACTGCTCCAAGTCTCCCCTGAAGTGCAACAGGTGGTGAATGTGCTGCCTGGATGTGTGCGAGACGAATCGGGCGCTTTCCCAACGCTCGCCCAAGATGGTCCACGATGGCCCCCAAGACGGCCCAGGAGAGTCCAAGACGCCTCCAAGTTCGCCCAAGAAACCTCCATGACTGCCCAAAACGGCCCCGGAGGCCCCCGAGATGCCTCCAAGACGGCCCGAGAAGCATTCAAGAGGTCTTCCAGCCCGAAGAGGCCAACATCATGGATTCTTCTTAGGCTTGAAAGATGTTGGCATTTGCTTGTTTTCGGCCTTCCGACGGCCAAAGAGGCCTCCAAGATCGCCCCCAGAGCGCCCGAGAAGCCTCCAAAATGGCCCCGTAACGGCCCAAGTGGCTCCCAAGACGGCCCGAAGAGGGCCCCAAGACGGCCCAAAAGGCCTCCAAGAAGCCCAAGATGGCATCCAAGATAGCCCTGGAGCGCCCTGAGAAGGCCCAAAGACGGCCCAGAAAGGCCCCCAAGACGGCTTCCGATTGCGTTAGACGTGCCAAGAAAGGCATGAGCTGGTTTCCCCCGCTGGTTTCGCCGACGGCTGGTTTCGCCGGCGCTGGTTTCGCCCCGCTGGTTTCGCCCCGCTGGTTTCGCCGGCGGCTGGTTTCGCCGGCGCTAGTTTCGCTGGCGCTGCTGTTGCCGACGCCGTCGTCGTCGTCGTCGTCGTCGTCGTCGTCGTCGTCGTCGTCGTCGTCGTCGTCGTCGGGCGTCGGGCGTCGGACCCGAGCGGGCGGGTCGGGTCGGGCGGGCGGACCCGAGCGGGCGGGTCGGTCGGGTCGGGTCGGGCGGGTGGACCCAAACAGGCGGGTCGGGTCGGACGGGCGGGACATTAAAATGTGGGGCACGCTCGACCGAACACGTGGGTCGGGCGGGCGGACCCTGGCGGGCGGGTCGGGTCGGGCGGACCCTAATGGGCGGGTCGGGTCGGGCGGGCGGGACATTGAAATGTGGGGCTCGCTCGACCGAACACGCGCGAACCCTAACGGGCGGGTCGGGTCGGGCGGGCGGACCCTAGCGGGCGGGTCGGGTCGGGTCGGGCGGGCGGACCCAAACGGGCGGGTCGGGTCGGGCGGGCGGGACGTTAAAATGTGGGGCACGCTCGACCGAGCACGCGCGAACCCTAACTGTCGGGTCGGGTCCGGCGGGCGGACCCTAGCGGGCGGGTCGGATCGGGCAGTTCCGCCGACGGCAACTGATTTCGCCGACGGCAGTTGGTTTCGCTGACGGAAGCTGGTTTCGCCGACGGCATCTGGTTTCGCTGGGCGGCGAAACCAACCGGGCGAACTAGCCGGGCGAAACCAGCCGTTAGAGAAACCAGCGGTCGCCCCAGGAAAGCCCTACGACGGCCAAGGAAGCCCCCAAGAAGCCCCTGAATGCTTCCAAGAGGCCCGAGGAGGCCTCCAAGAAGCCTCCAACCGGCCCCCAGAAAGCTCTCAAGAGACCCCAAGATTGGCCCAATAGGCTCCCATGAAGCCTCCTCCTGCTCCTCGTTCCTCCCTCTCGCCTTC